GGGAGGGAGGGAGGAAGGAAGGAAGGAAGGAAGAAAGAAAGAAAAGTAAATGTTTTAGGAAACTCATGTTTAAGCTACAATTTATCATGAAACTGGACACATTTTGAGTGGTTTTGAGACAAGATTTCTCAGTGTAGCCCTGACTGCCCTGGAACTAGCTCTGTAGACCAGGCTGGCCTCAAACTATCTGTCCCTTTCTGCCTCCAGAGTGCTTGGATTGAAGGTATGCACTACCATGCCCAGCTTCAATTGGATAAATTTTTTAAAACAAAAATGACTATCTAATTATTTGAAATTTTCATTTATTGATTAATAAATTGACATAGTATTGATGGACCTATAAAACAATTCTACTCAAATCTACTTTAAATTTTTAAAATTTACTTTCAACAATGCTGGTTTTCAAAAATTAAAATATATAATGCAGTTTAAATATCTTTTGAAATATTTGCTTTAGTTATTATCAAAACAGTAAAGATAATACAGCAGAATAATTTTCCCGGATACCCATTCACATGCTTAATTGGTTTCTTGGCCGTATGTGTTATGGCCTTATTATTTTTAATTATTTCAAAAATTGTCTGCAACTTTAAAAGATGAATTCTGTAGCTAATCAGTTTGAGATTTTCAGCACCTTTAAATGAGTCTTCTCTTTTGATTCTGAGTAAATATCATCTCCATAGTCATAGTCAATTTTGTTAAATGGGGTAGTGTCTTTGTTAGGGTTTCTATTGCTGGGCCAAAACACCATGACCAGAAAGCAGGTTGGGGAGGAAAGGGATTATTTGGCTTACACTTCAGCATTGCTGTTCATCACAGGAACTCACACAGGGCAGGATCCCGGAGGTAGGAGCTGATGCAGAGGCCATGGAGGGGTGCTCTTACCGGCCTGCTTCCCATGGCTTGCTCAGCCCACCTTCATATGGAACCCAGAACTAACAGCCCAGGGATGGCACCACCTACAATGGGCTGTGCCCTCCCTCATTGGTCACTGCAGGAGAAAATGCCTTACAGCTGGATCTCATGGAGGCATTTCTCAGCTGAGGCTCCTTCCTCTCTGATGACTGGTTTGTGTGGAGTTAGCACACAAAACCAGGCAATACAGTAGAGAATGTGAATTTTTATTTCATTGTAGAGAAATATGCTAGTATTTTAATCCATATATTTTCATAGGCATTTTTTACTCCATGTTTTTTTCTATTTTGGGTTTTTTTTAATGTATCATGAAGTTTAGACGCTACAGTATAAATCCTGGACTTTCTCAATATCACTTTATTCTGGCACAGAAATTTTTTTAACCAAAAGTAAGAGTGCTACCAATAGTCTTTATATAAAAGTCAAAATAACCCGAGGCATAATTATAAAATTGAAAAATTGAATCTTATTTTGAACAATCATTATGTAATATGCTCAGTTATTCCTTTGCTGTCACCTGAGTAACTTTTAATGTTTCTTTGTTTGGAAGCTTAGTTTTCCATAAGTATTGCTCACAAAGTCTCCACAACCTAACATTTCGGACATTACCTATGTTGCATACTTTAAAAAAAGTTTTCAATTGTCTGGCACAAAATGCAACCCTAAATTAAAGGGCTCATTAAAAAACAAACAAGTTGGGGATCACTGTAGACCACAACATGAGTTCTTGATAGGCAATAGCCTTCCTTAAAGTTTGAGGCATTCTAAAAATTCTCTTCAGCGATATGCCTGCTGACATATGTATCTGCTTGTCACATGTGTCTGAGTGTTTTGCAACTTTTTTGTCAATATAGAAAAAATACTTCTGTGTGCAGCTGAAACTCTTGGTAAGTAATGTGTTGTAGCATTAATGGGCACTACTGTGATTTAGCCGTGTACCACACCAGTTTAAGGGCATTGCCTCTCTGTTGCTTTCTCTACTTGCTCAGGGAATTAGCTTCACTCTGGGGTGCTGCTTAACCAAATTTGCACTTCTTTTATTACTGCAAAAGCAAACAATTTAAACTTGATTGTTGGAGTTCTTAACTGAGTTTATAGTAACATCTATAATAAATGCCAGATTTTTATCTTCATGATTGACTTTCTAAAAGCTCTGCTTTGATTCTATGAGGAATTAAACCCAAGGGTTTATTATTGCCTGAATTTTCCTGTCTGAAGACATTCACATAAAACTAGCTTCATTTAACTGTTCACAGTTCTTTTGTGCTGATGAAGTTAACACATTAAGATCTCTTCTTTGGCTATGAAAAAAAAATTAAGTAAAAACCTAGGGCGAGAGAGAGAGAGAGAGAGAGAGAGAGAGAGAGAGAGAGAGAGAGAGAGAGCTCAGTAGTTTAAAGTGCTTGCTGCAGCATGCAGGTCTGAGTTCAGATCCCTGGTATCTGCATAAAAAGCTGGATGTGGCAATGCACACTTGTGACCCTAGTCCTGGGGCAGGGAACTGGAGAAACAGGTAGATCCCTGAAGCCCCTAGCCAGCCAGTTTAACCAATTGGCTTACCCTAGGTTTAGGTGAGACCCTATCTCAAAAAGCTATGCACGTTGACTGACACCCAGTGTTTATTATGAGCGTGCACACAGGTACACCTTCACACACACATACACACACACACACACACACACACACACACACACACACACACACACACTGAAACTAGGTAGGCTATGTACACTGCCCATCCCAGCACTCAGGAATGTGGGAAAGGACTTTGTATCAAAAAACTATATAAACAACCACAACAACAAAATGAAAATAAAAATAAATCTATTTATTTCTTATTTTCTGGAAACAGGGTCTTATAGTCTCACTCTGGCAGGCCTTGGACTCACGGAGACCCTCCTGACCCTGCCTACTGAGCACTGGGTCTGAAGGTTTATGCCACCACACCCAGCTCCATTTAATCTTAAAGAAGCCATGCTCCCAGAAAGATATATAAATGGACTTTCTGTAGGAGTTAAACCATTGTCTGGATACAGTCTTTAGTCACAAACTTTTGAAATAAGTTTAGATGTTCTTCTGATTTACTTTTTTTTTATTTTCACATGGTCATTAACATCATTGTGGTTGCTGTGGTGGGATGATGTCAACCAAACTGAGTCATTTTAAGCAACTTTAAGAAAATACACTTAATGTTACATTAAACATGCATTCCAGTTTTTAGCTCTTCACAGCTAAAAGGATTTATTATAAAAATAAAAATCTGATACCTAGTCATAGCTAGTGATCTGTTCAGGCCATATCATAAAGTGGCCATCGAGAGTGCACACGCTTCTCAGCTGGACTGCTCAGCATCCCTTTCCTACAGAGGCATCAGGAGCACACAACTAGATCTGTTGTTGCCTAAACTCCAACCCCGAATGCCCCCTGCCCCTGAGTTACAGCCCGGCAGCTTCACACATCTCACCGGCAAAGTCAGAAACTGCATGCCTGCTAGCTGGAATGCTGAGCAGCTGGCAAGGCCTTAGAGCTACCTTCCGTCGTAGTTGGACTGAAAAAGACTCCGCTCATCTTTCAGACACAACCACAAGTTCAAGTGGTTGCCCCATTCACTGCACATGTACCTCTCACACACTAGGCAAGACCATGTCTAGAGGCTGAAAGAGTGAAGTTATATGTATACAGACTGTTTGCAATAAATACCAAATCACATGGACTCGTGGGCAGCAGGCGTCAACTGGGGCTGCCCTGGCTGCCTAGTCCCTGCATCTACAATTCAGTCACTAGTTTTTCAAGGAACTTGACAACATTTTTATTGCTTTGCCTTACCACAGTATCTGTAGGCCTATACTGTAGAGTCCTTGAGTTTCTCTTATCCTTTACCATCCTGTGTTCCTGCCTCAAAGTGTTATCACATTATAGTCTGTGTAGTAGTCTGTGGGTTCCTTCAAAGATCTTACGCAGTTTTTTTTATCCTTGACCTTTGATACAAAGTAAACATTCAAGAAATGGTATTATTAAATGAATGAATGAATGAAAACAAATGACCCAAATTAACTTGAAAAATGAAGAAAGCTGATGTCTCAGACCAGACCATGCATCTGATACTATCCAGATATATGGGGAGTGGTAGGATTGGAAGGTGATAGGGAGGTCATTTCTACAAGCAGTGTTCTGGCCCCAGCTGTCCCTGGCACACATCACCTCGGGTCATGGTTACACGACAAACTAGTAAGTAGCTGGGCTCTACAATGCAGGCCCCAAACACATTTTTTTTTTATTAGAATCAGTGACTGATGTCTTGGGAAAGGCCAAAATAGACAGGTTCCATGATATTTGCAGAGGAGGATTCTCCAGCACAGGATTATTTCCAGAGGAACATGTATAGTATAAACTACTCCCGTCGACTAATCATACCAGACTTAGTATAGCTTTGATAAGCATCTTAGCCTGTGCCTGGGGGGAGGGGTCCACTAGAAGCAAATGGTCCCAGTTGGAGAAGAATGGTGTTCTGGTTATGGGATTTGTTGTTGTTGCCATCTTTGAGACAAGGTCTCACTGTATACCCTTGACTGACTAAGAACTCACAGTCACCTGTCTCTACCTCTCAGTGCTGGGATTAAAAGCATGTGACACTAGACCCATCCAAGAGGCTTCTTATTTATCTTTTGAGTCCCCATAGGTAAAAGGACTAGCCATACAGTAGTAAGTCCCTCACACAATTTACTATTGTTAATTAGCTATCTGAAATTCAACATGGATTCTATCAACTTTTGGCAGGTTGAATAAGACTGATCCCTTCATCAAGCATTAATTGATAATTGAATACCTGTTGCATTCCAGGTGCTGGAATAAATGATAGGGAACAGATGAGCGCGATTCTGTTTTCAAGGGTGCTTTGTAGAGTGGGGATAGCAATGCTGTCAGCAGAAAATCAAAGCGTGAGAGTTGGGGCAAAGTCAGTGCATGGTCTCCTGACTTCATACAAGCCTGTGATTCCGGTGCTGGCTACTTCTTCCCACTTTCTCTTCCTGTTTTGTTTTTTGGAATTTATTTCTACTATCATGAGGTGAGAGTGGGTGGGTATAGGGGGCAGGAAATGAGTATGCTATGGTGCATGTGCCAGAAGTCAGAAGACAACTTTTGAGAGCTGGTTCTCATCTCCCACTGTGTGGGTTCCAGGGATTGAACTCGGGTCTTCAGTCTTGACAGCACTCACCCTTACCACAGGAGCTATCTGCAGTATCTCTGACATCTCTTATAAACCCTGCAAAATTATCATACACTCTTTCTTAGAATGTTTTAAACCAATATAACCAATATAATTAATAATCGCATATTAAACTTACACACTCATTCTTTTTTTAAAGTCAAATTTCTCCTTTGTTGTGGATGCAGTTCTTTCTCTAAAGAAAGCTAAGGGAGAGCTGACTTTTCTCTACCATATTCTTCATCCCCCACTCCCACAGGAAGTGCAAAACCTCCGCATTGGGCCAAACCTATCTATGAACTAGATATAGATGACCCAGGAAACAATGGCTTCATCAACGAGGACCTCATTGTATGGATGCGGACAGCTGCCTTTCCCACTTTCAAAAAACTGTACCGCCGACTCAACCGTGTGCACAATTTTGTTGAGGGTTTACCTGCTGGTAACTACAGTTTCAACATATCCTATAGTATCCTTTATGCCGCTTCTGTTTCTCAGAGTGAAGGCAAAATCTGGCTGCTCATTGTTGAGTTCTTACATTCTGTTTCTGTCCTCCAGCCAAATATGTGTACTACTAAAAAACAACAGCCACTTTATAGTAATACACACAGAGGAGGAAAATGCTACCTCCTTGATTCGGGGGTGGGGAGGGGAGGTTCTATCTCAGGACTGATGTGTCAAGAGAAAAATATGCAAATTTTGTTTATTTTGTAGTTTGGGACCCTCCCAAGAAATAGAGAGACCCAAAGAAGTGACTGCATGTATTTACACACTAGTTTTAAAGAAGTATCAATTATGGAAGAACTGCTGAGGGTTAGTTTAACCAAATTTGTCTTCACAGGTTGACTTCTGATGGTAAAGATATTTTTTTTCCTTCCTTCCTTCCTTCCTTCCTTCCTTCCTTCCTTCCTTCCTTCCTTCCTTCCTTCCTCCCTTCCTTCCTTCTTTTCTTTCTTTTTCCTTCCTTCCTTCCTTCCTTCCTTCTTTCTTTCTTTCTTTCTTTCTTTCTTTCTTTCTTTCTTTCTTTCTTTCTTTCTTTCTTTCTTTCTTCCTTCCTTCCTTCCTTCCTTTCTGTGTTAGAGTCTCACTATGTAGCTCTGGCTATCCTGGAACTCATTATGTAGACCAGGCTAACCTCAAATGCACAGAGATCTTCCTACTTCTGCCTCCCAAGCACTGAGATTAAAGACATTTGTCCCCACACCTTGCAAAAAGTAATTCTAGTGTCAGAGGGCATGTTTCATCCCTCTCCATGTCCCTCTCCAAGAAGATGGAAAGTCAGCATGCCCTTTTTACACTTGCTGATTTTCAAGTACCTTAAGCCCAAATAATATGCTGATGTGGCACATTTGGGATTGATATGTCTTCTTCAGGTATCATCATCACCTATAACATCATCATATAAATGTGTCCGAATTATGTATTTAATGTCTTTTTTTTTTAAAGGAACAACAGGCAGTAGCAATATCAGGTATGGAAATAGGAAAGGAGTATTTTTGTCCCCAAGAAAAACCAATGAATTCCCAGCACTTGGGAGGCAGAGGCAGGCGGATCTCTGTGAGTTCGAGGCCAGCCTGGTCTCCAAAACGAGTTCCAGGAAAGGCGCAAAGCTACACAGAGAAACCCTGTCTCGAAAAACCAAAAAAAAAAAAAAAAGAAAGAAAGAAAGAAAGAAAAAGAAAAAGAAAAACCAATGAACAGTAGATCTAGAAATCTAAAGCAGTGAGGTGAAGCATGCCATATTGAGTAGGGTGAGATGGAGAATCAAAAAAATAAAGGGGGGGTAATAAGAAGTACATCTGGAAGGCAGACTGGAATAGCAGATGCTGACACAGACCATAGAACCTTTAGACAAAAGTGTGTTAGAGCAAGGGAGCCCCCATCTCCCCGACTCATCACCCCGGGAAATGGGGAGCTCTGTACTTGACCAAACCTACCTATGGGCTAGATAGAGACCTCCAGCAAACAATGGCTCCCTCAATGAAGACGTCATTGTGGATGTAGACAGCTTGTTACAATCCAGGCCAGGAATGCTGTGAGCTCTGCACTGCAGATGTGTGCTCTTCCTCCCTTAGGTACAGAGCCTGCCAGTGGGAGTCCATGTCTTAGTAACAGGCATATGGGCCGAGTTAGGAGACATGTGTTCTAATAATGGATTATGATTTTTCCTCCTAATTTAAAGATACAAATGTGAGTCTGGATTTAAAAAAAATAAAGTTTTAACTATAAAATGTAATCAAGTCTTATCTTTAAGCAGTTATATATTTTCATATAATTGATACTAACTGTGGTCTTCAGAGTTCATTTCCCTGAAGGAAGTAGATTCCTTAGCTAGGTTCTCACCCAACTAAGCATCCAATTAGGCATCCACACCAGGGTTACTGGCTGGGATTGTTCTAGAGGATACCCAGCAGGCCAGAGCTTCTCCACTGACTTGTCCACTTCCACAATCTAACTCCCAGAGAGGTTCAATGAGAAATTCTTGTTTTCTTTTTCAATGCCAGGGATCAGACCCAGAACCGTAGGCACACTAAGCAAATGGCCCTCCACTGAACTATATGGCTAGTCCTGGGATAGAAAAGCCTTGACACAATGTGAAACGCATATGTCCACATGTGGTCCTGTGCCCTACCCCAGGATATTTTTCTTTCTCCTAGAGCAGGTGTGTGGAACTCTCCCACAGGAGAGTAGGGGTGCTCCTCTATGAGGTCCCTGCTGACGTGACTCACATCTCTGCCTCGTCAGCCTTTAGTTTTCTTTTGCGGCAGTTGCTTTAAAACAGAGATTGGATGTTGCCCGGTGAGTGTTGTCTCTCAAGTTCAATCTCTTGAGACTTCCTGACTATCATAACAGTAAACTACACAGGAAAGTGCAGAGGAAAAAACAAGATCAAAATGCTGCCTTCACCCCTTGCTACAATTTGGGTTGGGAGTGAGGAAAGGAAGCCACGTCCTACAAGGGAGACAGTTTTTCCTCTCCAGACATGCTCTCCTCTGTGACTGCTAACAGCCACCCTCGAATGCTGATCTCTCGATGCTGCGTGCACAAATTCAACCCTGAGTGTGAGCCCTCTGCTCACACTACCCCTGTGTGGCCTGGCTGAAGCCTAGACTGTAGCTAAAGGCTGAACTGTAGCAGTGCCTACCACTAAAGGGGAAAATGATGCCCTCTAGGTGAAGATAGGACGATCCCTTTCAAATGGACCAGGAGAGGACAGGCAGGAAGATGAGGTAAGGCAGCACCCAAGGACCAGGTGACAATGAAGAATTCCAGGATTAAAAAAAGAAACAGAGCTCGTGTCTCTAACATGTTTGCTTGTGTCTTTAAATAGCATGTTGCCAAGAGATTGGAAGCCTTTTAAGAGCTTTGCTGGGAAATGCCTCTGTCCTCTGTGTTGCTATGAGAAGGCTTTGTTTGTTTATTAGTTTCATTTACAAAAGGCACCAGATGTTGAAAACCCTCAGGCCGCATGCATCATGAAGATGACATCATTCAAATGCTGCATAGCGAACCCACTTCAAACACTTTCTCACCAGCAACAGGGACATCGCCTTTGCAGAACCCTAACAAATCCGCCACCTTTAGCGGTCTCACCAAAAACGTTACACTGTCCATTCTGCTTTATTTATTATTCTTATTCTTCTTAAAAGAATTTTATCTGTGGGGTGGATTCGTGCTTTGGCCTGTTAAGGAACTTAGCCTCTCTGGAGTCTTCTGATTCACGAAGAAAACTTTTGGCTTGCTGTGAACACTATTTATATTCTTTGTGCTACTTTAGATTCATCAAAGGCAGTTCGAGATCTGCTCCTTATCTAGCTGCTGGCAAATCATTCTGACCAATATACTTCAGCATCTCCTTTGTACACTATAGCTATGTGGAGGGGACCCTTGTATTGACTAATTTTGTTCTAGCAAAATAGAGTACTAGTTGACTGTGTTGAAACATATGAATAACTATTTCATGTCAAATTTATATCATTTAATGTAGTGTATTTGTATATGCCATGGTACCGATGAAAAATACTGAATCCTTAACAGATCTTCTAGATTTTCCAGTTACTGTGTTCCAGGGAGAAAAATCTGTGGTTCTTTCCACCCTGACATGGATCGGAGGAGGTGGCCTTTTCTTGGGGCTTACTTACACAGTGACAGGGGCACTGACATTGTTGGCCTCTTTCGCCATCCTGGCGATTTACTTGATGCTGAAAAGGAATAAAAAAAGTTTCCTGTAAGACTGAAGTCTAGGCTTGAAAAGAAGAATAGCAGAAGGCAGAAATGGACAACAAAGTAAAAGAACCAAAGATCTCTGGCAAGGCTGGAAATATTTCTGAGCTTTCTCAACAAGGGGTTACTGGATTGACTGAATCAAATATAATCCCAACTCTGTGGATAAATAATGAGATTCCCAGAGTGGGGTGAAGAGAAGGAGGGAGGGGGAGGAAGAGGAGGGGGAGGAAAAATATGTGCAGTAAGATGTTCTTGGAATGAAGACAATAAATGATTTTTGAACTCTAGACCAAGTGTTAAGAATTTGAAGTTCTTGTACTTGAGAGTGGGTGAGTTCCCCAGGGGTCTGCCATTACAATAAGAGCAAGCAAGCCAGAACTGAGTCCTTCTAGCTGTCCAATTAGACTCGGTTTTCTGGCTGGATGAATTTATAGATTTTTTTTTCAAAGCACAATTGTTGAGCTGAGCAATAGAACTGAGTTGCAACCAAGTTTTATGCCAAGAATAGACCAAGCAATGGTTACCTATGCCCTGAGTATCCAAAATATATCAAAAAGAACGTTTCTTTAACGGTATAAGACAATAGCACTAAGAGTTGCTAATTCTTTAAACTATTTTGAGCCTGTTGAGGACACAAAGCAATTCTATGCCTAATATTAAAATGACACTATCTAGAATATGAACCATGGCTGGCCTCAAACTCACTGTCTGTGCAGACTGGCCTCCTGCCTCAGTTTCCCTAGTGCTAGCATCATAACCATGTACCATTATACTAGTTATATTAGTTATCTGCCTTGCTGTGATAAAATACCTGAAGCAGTTTTGAAGCCAGGCCTGAGCCTGTCGGTGGTGGTACACATCGTTAATCCCAGCAGTTGGGAGGCAGAGTTAGGTGGATCTCTGTGAGTTTAGGGCCAGCCTGGTCTACAAAGAAAGAAAAAGAAAAAGATGAAGAAGCAGCAGCAACTTAAGAGAGGAGGGGTGTGTTTGGGTTTATAGTTCCAGAGGCTACAGTCCATGTTGGCTTCCGAAGGCATGGCTGTTCAGAGCAGGAGGCAGCTGGCCACATTGGACCAGGAGTCAGAAATCAGAGCACGAGATGACCGCTGGTCCTCAGCTAGCCTTTGCTTTTTATGTAGCCTGGGACTCCAGGCCATGGAGTGGTGCTGCCCGCATGTATCTTGGGTCTCCGACCTCAGCTTAGACAGTCCCTCCCAGGTATTCCCCGAGGCTTGTCTCTCGCGTGATTCTAAGTCCTGTGAAGTTAACTGTCAGTATTAACCATCACACCAGAATCGACAGGGATGTTGACTACTTGAATGCTATCCACACATGGAAAAGAACTTGTTTCAAGCACAGGGTAAGCGGCACCCTGCTATAGCGGCAGCAGAAAGTCACTACACCACTGTCTGTCAAGGCTGCAATCATCTCAGCAATTGTTTCTGGGGTTTGGGTGTTCCAGAACAGAGCAAAACTAACCTCTGACCCTAGACTCCTGGCCCTTTGTCCCACAGCCCTCCTTTATAGTGCTAATTAGAGGAAGCAAATACAACGGCTGTATCTCAAACTCATAAGGATATAAGGTATAAAGATACTGTATCAGGGATGTATTGGTAAGACAGAGAAATCTCTGTGTGTGTGTGTGTGTGTGTGTGTGTGTGTGAGAGAGAGAGAGAGAGAGAGAGAGAGAGAGAGAGAGAGAGAGAGAGACTTGTGTGATTGTTGGGAACTCTACATTCTACTAGATGAGTCCTGCTCAAGAAAAGACTTATAGTTAATAAGTTCAAAAGTATTCTGCCAGGAACTGTAATGCTGTGGGTGGACTCCGAGGTTGCTGAACGTTCCCTCTTGATCAGAAAGTCTACCCTTTTCTAGTCAGGGTTCCACACACTATGTAGGACAATCTGCTTATGAAGAGTCCACTGTTGTAATTCTCATCAGAAACATCCAGAATAATCCACCCAGGTATCTTGGAACTCCATAGCTTGGCCAAGTTGGCATAAAATTAACCATATAGAAGCCAGGAAGGCACCTGTGTTCAACAAGTGGGTAAGCACCTTCCCAAAGAAAGCACTCTTGATTTCACTTGGAGCTAGTGTTGGCTTATGGGGAGAGCCTGTACAAAAACACAAGCTGTGTTCACGAGAAACCAATTTGAGAAAAAGAAATGGCGATTCGTGCCTTTTTCTTGCTTCTCCAAAGCCGGTACACCCAAAGCCATTTGTCCTCACAGGACTCTAACCCTGGTATAGTCTGGAAGTCTTCCTTGTTCACCATCAACCTCCCAGTCGTGGGAAACTAGAATTCTCTGATTTTCATTGTCTCCCATTCCATGTCCCTAACCCCCACTCCTATCACATAACTCCCTTCTTTCTGCACGTTTCTAAATTCTCCAGGTATGTGTGTCAGGATCTCATTGCATGGTCTTGGATGTCTTATGCCCAAATGATCCTCCTGCCTCAGCCTCCTGAGTGTTAGAACAACAGGTGTATACCACAGTGTGTGGCTTGTCCTTATACCACTGTGAAGCATTTGGTGCAAGCTTGGAGAAACGGTGCTAGTCTAATCTGTCTCCAACCCTGACAACAATGCCAAGAGAGGAGGAAGAATGTACTCGAGATCAAGAGAAAAAGAACAAAATGGAAAATCAGTGAGAGTCTGTCTGAGTGTGAGTCTGGGTGTGTTTGAGTGCATACAAGCATGAGAAGAGGAGCTTGGGACTGTTGGGAAACCTAGACCTTTAAGGCACGTCTATTTTGATGTGTATTTTAGATGCAGGGACGGGGGCATTGGGAATAGGACTGCATAGGATGGAGTTACGAGAGAACAACGATGTAGAGCTGGCCTGAGGCTGTTGCTGAGTTCCTGCTGGTGCTTTGGGGACCTGTCCAGGGCAGAGTTATAGGAAGATCTGATTAAAATCAAGCCCGCTGACTTCAGACCCCCAGCCCTTATATCTTTAGTCCACATTCCTCCACTACAGTGCTGATTAGGAAAGACATAAATGCAGCCATTAGATCTCAACTTCCTTTGTCCGTATACTAGGATACTGTATCAGCATGCACAAGGCCTTGGGTTCACTCCCAAGCACCGCATAAGTCCCATGTGTGATGGTGTCTGTATGCCTGCAATCCCTCAAGAAGTAAAGGCAGAGGATCCCGAGTTCAAGCTTCTAAACAGCCACACTGTGAGGCCAGTATGGGATACACGATACCCTGTGATAATGATGACGATGATGGCAATAGTGATGATGTTTATCCAATAGAGTTGATGTTTATCCAAAATTTGCTTATTAGACTATGGCCTTGTGTGGCAAGCTCACAATGCTGAGTGTGGCCAGAGTAGCCAGCGCCCCAGCTGTGAAGGGGTTTTATCTTACATCAACCTTTGTTTTTCCATCCAACTCCACCCAAGTACCCCCGGCACTTTCAAAATGAGAGCATCTTTTGCTTTGATTATTATTATTACACACACACACACACACACACACACACACACACAAACACACACACACACACACACACACAGAGAGAGAGGAATACATAAATACAACCTGCTGTGTCCATTTTTTGTGTGCACATGGTTTCATGGCTGATTGCTTTGTATTTGGGTAACCAATTAGAGGGTTCATCCCTAGGAAAGGCTAACTCACTGTCTCTCAGCAACCATTAGACGTCTGCAGTTTTTTATCTAGGGTGGGGCCTTGTGAGATTTTCTTCATTCCCCATTAGTATTGCATCAACTTTGGTAGCCCCCCCCCCAACAAATGCACACATTCACCCCATGGTTGATCATGATCCCCCCGCTCTTCTAGGGTTTTCTCCGTTCCTTTATGTTATGGATTAAGGAAATGTTCCCAGCAGCACCAGACTTCCAACTCCTTCCACATAAGCCCAGAACACCTAAGCCAGAATACCCACTGACTTTGACAAAGCAGCATTCCCCAGCCAGTGCTGCAGCCATCCCAATGAAACCAGCCTAAGAAGGCTGGGGTTTTCCTCTGCTGTGTTACTTAGTACTGGCTTTATTAATGCAATATTCATAAGAGGGAACAAGCTTCAAACAGCTGCTGGTGGTTTTACTTTACAATGTGTCCAGCAATTCCCCAGCACCGTGGCCTGTGGTTATCAACATTTTTTGTCTCTGAATATCCCTAAGTGGTTGTACCACAAAGCAGCTCTTTGCTGGCTTCTCCACAGGAAAGTCCATTTCCTGTCCTGAGAGCCAAGGGAGCCACTAAAAGATTCAACCCAGAGTCTCTTTCACCAGGACTGGCTCACAATTCCATTGCTAACTCGGCTTTTGTTTGCCAAATAGAGTTACCCTTGGAAGGCCAAGTATGGTTGAGCATACCTGTAATCCTAGTATGAGGGAGGCTGAGGCAGGAGGATGGCCAATATTAGGCCAGCCTAGGCTTTGCAGCAAAACCTTGTCTCAAAAAAAAAAATGTTTTTAAGTTTCTCTGAAGTCTCTACTAAGCAGATTCCTAAAAACTATGTTGTTTGTTTGTTTGTTTGTTTGTTTGTTTTTTAACCTAGTAACAGGTCAGTGCTTCAGTGAGACTTCGGTGAGGCTTTAAAAAAAAACCCTCATCTTTTCTCCCCTAAAAAATGATGATGTGGTAAAATGATTAGGAAAGAAAGTGGTGAAATAGAGACATTTGGATTACAGTGACCCAGACGGCAATGGGGACAGTTCATTTAGAAGCAGGGAACTTGGCTGCGCAGAGGAAAGTTGTCCAGTATCAGCATTCTGTCCTGTGGTCTCCACCGGATGATTCAGAGCTATTCTGACAAATGTGGGAAGTCTTCGAAATCTAGAGAGTGAAATACTGCCTAGCAACGGATCTCCCTTCCATGAGTGCGGAGCTTGGGTCCTGCTTCCAGAGGTAGGTTCTGCTTTCTTACTCATTCTCACCACAGTTGGGATGGAAAAACTGAAGTCATTGCTCTGATGACCAAGAAGTATCTTGTGGGGCTCAAGGCCAGCAGCAGCAGCAGCAGCAGCAGCAGGAACAGATGTGGGCAGTGTGGGCAGGCCTCTCAATTCTCAAGCTTTTCGCTGCAGGGTAACATTGGAAAATCACTCTTGATTTTTTTTTTTTTTTTTTTTTTTTTGGTAAACATTCTCAGTCCTTGTTCATAGTCGGCATCTGCGGACGAGGCATTAGAAATGTATTTTCCAATCTAAGGCCGGCCATTCTCTTGAGAAGTCATGGAATCTCCAAGCGGTCTTTGAAAATGGGTGCTACCAAAACCCACAAGGAAGGTCGGGGT